TGTTTATGTTTTTCTTGATTTAATATTTGCTTCCTCCCCTTGACTCACATATATCAGATATCAATCAAATGACATCATATCAATCAAATTCAAGTTTTTTCCTCGGACACTGTATTAGTTTCCTAAGGCTGCCATAGCAAAGTACTAACCAAGAGAAACGTCTTGTCTCCCAGTTCTGGAGGTTAAATGTCTGAAATCAAGGTGTCTGAAAAGTTGGTTCCTTCTGAGAGCTGTGAGCGAAGGATCTGTTCAGTGTCTCCCTCCTAGCTCCTGGTGGCCTCAGGCATTTTACGGCTGGTAGAATGTGTTCTCCCTGTGTCTTCACATCGTCTTCCCTCTGTATGTGTCTGTGTCTAATTTTGCCCTTCTCATAAGGACATAGTCATACTGGATTAAGGCCCACCCTAATTACTTCATCTGAACTTGATCACCTGCGGAGACCTTATTTCTAAATGAGGTCACATTCACAGGTACTAGAGGTTAGGACTTCAACATCTTTGGGGGGAACACAGTGCAACCCATAACAAACATTAACCTTCCATAATCCTGGGTAATATCTATAACCCAAATGACATCACATCAAATATTTTTTTTCTAGAAATAACTAATTGTTATTCTTTTTTCTTCTACCACACTGCACAGAAGTAGAGCCATCCACAGAACTGCTTCTACTCCTGGGCTTCTGGAAACCACTGGAGAATATCACACAATCATGCAGGTAGGCTGAGTTTAGAAATTAGGTTATTTCTTTTACATATCCTAGTCAACCTCAGATGCTATTTGACCTCACTGCCCACCACAGCCCATCCTACTCTCAACTGATGATTTTGCTTTCTATTTCAGAAAAAAAAAGTCCTCAGAGGGTTTTAAATCTTTTAACTCTGCACTCTCTTTCCACCCTACTCATCCAACAAGCAAGAATATACCTATAAATGTATAAGCACATTTCTTTTCTCATCTGCAGAATAAGTGTCAATTCTCCTCCCCAAGTCTTATCCTTCCATCCATGCTCTTAACACATTCCCACCCATCTCTTAAGGTATATTGCTTTGTCATTAATCCCCTCATTAAAAAAACATATAAAACTTTTTATTGTAAAATATATAACACATATACAAAAAACCCACAAAACAAATGTAGAGCCTCACAAATTATTATAAGGTTAACCCCATAGGAAACACTCCCCAGGTCATGAAATAGAACTATTTCTTCCATATACCCCCTTCCCAACCATAATCCCGCTAAGAGTTTCCACTACCCTGTCTTTTACTATAATCGTGTCTTTAAATTTCTTTATGCTTTTATCACCCAATTGTGCATCCTTACAAACTAAGATTTTATCTTGCCCATTTTTATTTGATATCTATTTTTGGTCTCTTTCTGTCTATGTGTTTTCCCTCTTGCTCTTTTACAATTTATCTGTTGAAAAACCTAGGACACTTGACCTGCAGAGTTACCCACAGCCTGGATTTTGCTGACTGTGTATTCATTCGTGGTACAGTTTAATCTGTACCTCTGTCCTCATTTCCTGAAAATTGGAAGCTAGGTCTAGAGGCTTGATCAGACACAGGTTCAATTCCTTTAGCAGGACTATAGATTTTCTTGTATCTTTTCATCAGAAGGCTCATACTATCTCACTGCCTCTCTTTTTTGTGCTTTCAGTAACCACTGCTACTCAATGCCTAGATCCATTGATTCATCAAGAGTTGCAAAAGGGTAATATTCTAATTGCCAATGGCATTTTTTAAAGAAATGGAAAAATAATCCTAAAAGTTCTATGGAGCCACAAAAGACCTTAAATAATCAAAGTAATGCTGAGAAAGAACAATTCTGGAGGCATCATAATTCCTGATTTCATTTTTTTATTTTTTTGTTATTATTAGTTTCAGGTGCACAAAACAATGCAATAGTTATCCTTTTCACCCCTCACAAAGTGACAACCCCCTTCCCCCCATCTACTATCCCCCCCACCCCCAATATCATACATATCTATTACAATTCCAT